ACTAGATTTTGTACAATTTCAATTTTTGGAGAACCAAAAAAAGCTGGAATCCTGAAATTTGAAAGTTTTGGAAATTTGTACAAAATGGTACCAAATAAGAATTTTAGTGAACCGATAGAGCTAGAATTTGAAGTTAGGATTACTGTTGGGGTGTAGGATTGGGCTATGTTGGAAGTTTTGGAAATTTCTACTAATGTTTACTAAATTCACTACATTTGGTACAGTTTGGATCAATAGCTAAACGATAGAACTGGAATCCTGAAATTGAGTAATAAGATTTCCATTGGATTTGGATTTTGGGAAGCCATATTTGAAATTTGTAAATTGTACACGAGTACAAAGGGTAAAAATGGCAACAAATTTTGTATAGAGCTAAATTTATTTTACGGTCAGAATTGGTGTGTAGGTTAGTTTTGAAAAAAAGTTCTATAAGAGAACATAGATACTAAATGTTAATAATGTTTGGTGTTGGGCTTTAATTACTTCCCACATTCGCTAACGAAGTAGCGGTTAGTCATATAAAAATAAAATAAAATCCCTACTGTATACGACTATATACACATTTACAATATTCACACATTCAAACTACATTTTCCACCTAAGTAATTTTGTGAGAACCTCTTAATGTCTAGTGCAGACACACTCTACAAATCGCATAGTTTAATGCAACCACAAAGGTTCGACTGTGTACTGCCCAACTATTTTATGTTTGAGCACTCCACACATAAAACATATTTGAGTTCGCTTCAAACATCGGAAATAGACATTACATAGGAAACTATTGTTCTGTGCGTCTAAATATAATGTTCTCAATGACGGGTAAATTGTGCGTGTTTAACGCACACGTTTCGTCCGAAGTGTGTTAAGCCAGAAGACAACAGGTGTGATCCTCAGGTAAACATTTCCCTAGGCACTGCCACTCAAAAGCGAAAGATAATTCATTGCGGTTAACCTTAGGAAATTTTTGCTAATTCCCCAGATTAAGAGTAGGCGTTTGCGCATTGACTTTGGTGAAAATTCGGAATATCAAAAGGGAATTCAGTTAAGTGTTGTAATATATTACAACATTAAAAAATGGAAGTATGTCTTGTATTCTGGTAGTTCGAATAGGATTTTGAGTTTTTTTTAATATGATTCACTTTTTTAACATACATTTTATAATAATGTAATTTTCGTAAAATTTTACCCATGGGGAAAAAATGTCCTGTATATTTGGAAATACCTGGAGAAGAATAATCTATAAAATTGAATACACCCTCAATGCGTACATGCGTTCAAAAAATAAAAGAAACAAAAAAATAATTATTGTTCTCTACAACCACCAAAAACTACAGTCGACTACAACTAATTAACATTTACAATTCACTTGATTATGATACCATTTACACAAGACGCTAAGTGTGGTTTGTTAATTGTGTGTAATTTGGTTGGTGTCTCAACTAATTGGTTGGCAACTTCGTTTGATGATTATTGTGACTGAACAATAACAACCTTTATTTCCACTTAAGGGTTAATTGGAAAAATTCTGAATCAAAATAAGAGATGTTCTTTTTTCTGAAAATTTTCTTTTCATCTCAGCCTAATTGTCACTGAACTTGTATTAATAGTTATATATTTTTGTTTTTCTTTACAGGTCCCATAATTTTCCAGCAGGTCCCACAATAAAATGCATTTTTACTGTAATAATTTTTAAACCATTAAATATATCGTAAAAAAAAAATTAAAATGATTTTTGTTTTAAATATTTTTAAGGGTCCAATTATCGTTGACGTTAACAGTACCCTTTGAATTGGTGTTATTTGGTGTCGTTGACTTGAGGATTATTAGAAACGGCAGGATGTGACAATCTTATCCTTAGTGCGAAACAATTCCCGTCAAGTTTGTTTATTGAAGCGCCTAAAAATATGCTTTACAGTTCAATATTTTTACTTTAGCCCTTTACTTTAACGTGTGGTTGGCAACACCGGCAAATACACGCGGATAGCGCCATCTATTGAAACACATGATCGCAAATCGCTTAACAAAAACTGAAAAGTCCCAAAACTCACATGTCTCCAAATAATAAAAATCGAAATTTTCATACAATTTAAGGCCGATTTCGTTGCGGTTTGAATGACATCGTGTAAAGAACATTTGAAGCTATGTTTTAGAAATTACTTTATATATTTTTATTTTGAATTTCACACAAAAAATTGATGCTTATTGTATCCTTAAGAGAAGTCGGATGAAACATAGATTTAACAGCAGGATGTTGCTTTAGCGACTACTTCTTGCTCTCAGATCTTAAAAGAATGTCTTATGAGTATAATTTTATGCCGAATGAAGACTTTATTTCCGAAACTGAGGGCTATAAAAGCAAAAAACATATTGTACTTCAGAAATCAATTTTTCAGTATTTTTGGATTTTTTCGGTCGAGTTATAACCAAATTGTGTTGCGATTTGAATGGTATGGTGTACAGAGCATCTGAAGCTATGTTTTAGATATGCGTTTATAAATTTTTTTTGAATTTCACACAAAAAATTTATATTTATTGTAGCCGTAATGAGAAATGCGCCGAAACGCATGTATATAAATCTAACACAATTTGGTTATAACTCGACCGAAAAATCCAAAAATTCTGAAAAATTGATTTCGGAAGTACAATAAGTTTTTTTACTTTTTTAGCCCTCAATTTCGGAAATAAAGTCTTCATTCGGCATAAATATATGCTCATAAGACATTCTTTTAAGATCTGAGAGCAAGAAGTAGTCGCTAAAGCAACATCCTGCTGTAAAAACTATGTTTCATCCGATGTCTCTTAAGGCTACAATAAACATCAATTTTTTGTGTGAAATTCAAAATAAAAATGTATAAAGGCATTTCTATAACATAGCTTCAGATGTTCTTTACACTATGTCATTCAAATCGCAACGAAATCGGCCTTAAATTATATGAAAATTTCGATTTTTATTATTTTAAGACATGTGAGTTTGAGACGTTTCAATTTTTGTTAAGCCATTTGCAATCATGTGTTTCAATAGATGGCGCTTTCCGCATGTATTTGCCGGTGTTGCCAACCATACATTAAAGTAAGGGGGCTAATTTAGAATAATTCGATTTTAAAGCATACCTCTAGGCGCTTCAAAAATTAAACCAAACTAAGATTTATTCATTCTGTCGTTTCTAAAGAAAATATTTTGAAAAGTTGTGTTTGGCTTGTTGAAATAAAACAATAATCATTTTTGTTTTTTTGATTAAATACAAATGTTTGTTTATTTATATTAAAATAAAAGTTATTAAGTTAACAATACATTATTATTAATAAAAAAAATAATTATACATATATAAATTAAAATAAAAATTATACACAAAATTTAAAACAGAATTAATGTGACAATACCAAAGAGAAGAGATAAATGAAAAACAAAAACATAAAAATTAACAAATTTACAAGGGCATAGAGGTTAAGTGGTAGTAGTAACGTTAAAATAAAATACATAAATGAATAATAAAGGAGGTATGAAAAAAATACTTGTTGTTTTTTTTTTGTTGAAAACAAACCAATACAGAGATATATGTCGTAAAATAAACATAGTTAAAACTTTCAAAAAAATTACAAGCGATAAAAATTCAAATAATTTCTTTTCTTTTTTCCACATTTTTGTTCTGTTCTTTAAATAAATAATTTGTAAAACTTTCTTATAAACTAATGTTGTAAATTAAATATTTTTCAAATTAATTTTGTTTTTTGTTAAAAAAATAATAAAGAAAAAAATGTATGAAATGCAAGACGTTTTTGTAAAACTATGCGACAAATGGGTTTTCATTTCTAATCAGAACAATTTCAATACTTCTCTTTTTTCTATTTGTATATATAAAAAAATAATAAAATAATACAACAATTAATATTAGTTATTTTGGGGGTTTTGGGATAAAAAAGGACGACTTCATTTTCTTACTTACATCTAGATATTATTTTAATAAAGTGTTAATAAAAAATTAAATTGTATATTTATTTCTATTATTTTGTTGTTGTTGTTGTATAAGTAAATTTGCATATGTAAATATCAGAACACACTCTCCTCAATAGCTATCGAATGGTGTATGTGTTTTTGTATGCAAAAATATTTCATTATTATTTTTTTGTTAGGCATTAATTGTTTTTAAAAAAATATCAAAGATCTCAACAAAATTACAATAAAAGCACTTGAATTCCATTTTGTTATTTTGCACTTTCAAAGGCAACTTGTGATGTCGGATGATGATGATGGGGGGAGAAGGACAAAATTTTTTAGGGAAGTGAAGTTTGAATCATTCCCCAACTCTTCTTCCATTGTGTGATGCTATTTCTCTTTCTCCAACCGGCTTGATGATGTTGTTGAAAACAATGGAGCGGATTTTTTGAAGAAACTCCAACAGGTTGTAGTGTTTCTTTTGCTGTTCAACCACTGCAAAGGGAAAAAAGAAATGGCTAAGTTATTTTTAATAATTGAATATAATAAATTATTTTCAACATTATGTTAACATTATTTTAGTTACAGGATATCAAACAAGGGACATTTGTTATACAATTAAGCTGTGACTGTGATAAATACATAACTTCAACAAAGCTAATTTTCAATAGGTAATTAAAAATATATATTTTAAATTTTTGCTTAAAATGTATTCAGAATACGACTTTTTGAGGGATTTTGACTCAGCTCCTTTTGTTACCAAAAAGGGTTCAACTAGGAGGTTAGCTAATTCTTCAATTTTTTCTTTAGACTCTCAGAGAAAATTTCGTTTATAGGTTTCGGTGATATATACCTAATCAGTTATATAAATATCTTATCACATTTTTTAATTGGTTAAATATTATATTTATCAATATGTTATGTACAACATAATAATAAAAAACATGAATTATTAAAAAAAAAACAATATTTATATAGTATTTACGTATATTTATAGAAAAGGAATAATATCTTACTTGTGCCTCATATTTCATTTTTCCTTGAGATCTTCTCTCAAAAACAAAATTCTCTGATTCATGCATTTATTTTTGTATGTGGAGTAGTAGTAGTTGTTGTTGTTGTAAGAGTTATTTTTTGTAAAACGTGCATCATAAGCATTTTAGCATTCTTACAAAAAATCGTTCATATTGATGTAGTTTTTAAAACTAAATTAAATTTTTTGGTTAATTTAAAAAAATAATAAATTTTTCATTAAAAAAATTATGCAATAAGACAAAATTTACAAATAAAGACAGCGTACAACAACAAGAAGATGGAAAAAAGTGTGCATTTATATGAAAATGAAAGGCCAATGTTTTAATGGTAGCTAATGAATGTAGGTGTGACGGAGAAAGAAAAATCATGAGTAGGAGGGATATGTTTAAGCGAAATAAAAAAAAAAGATGAATAGCGGGATGAATGAATTTATGTCGAATTATAAATTAAGTTTATATTGAAGTAAAAAATTAAAATATCGAAAAAACTGGCAACATTGGTAGGGGTTTTGTAATGTTAGATGCTTCGGAATTACAATTACCATAGGATTACAATCGAACGAATTTTAGATTAACTTAAGAATACAACAAAACATCAGCTGGTTCTTGACAAAACTAAAAAAGTTTTTTTTAATTTCTTCATATTTAAATACTCGGCGTTTACACATGCAACTTTTGCAAGCAGAGTTGCTGATTTCTTGGAAGAGAGATTCATACAAAGTAACAAGGGGGAAGCAGAGTTGTTTAAAAAGGATAAATCGCACCTAGAACTATTCAAAAATTCGCCTTCAAATTTTCAAAAAAAAAAATAAAATAAAACCTGTGAGCGGAGCATTATAGCCGGACGGGCCGACCATACGATACCTTACACAACTACAACGGAACTTTACCTTTCTGTGGATGTTTATTTCGAGTCTGGGCAATATTTCGTGATGTTTGCACCCTCTTGACCGATTAGAGGTCATTGGCACCTCTTCCTTACACGTACATATTTTCCGAATATTACTAGTATTCAGTACAGTCCTTCTAATTAATTGTCCATATTCCCTTTACCGTGAGTTTTGTTGTGATGTTCGGCTTTCAATTGTGGCCTATAGATCGACTCGAAAAAACAAAAAAAAAACAAAAGTTTTCGGCTCACTTCATCCCAATATAATTAACTGATCATCACCGAAAATTATCATAACTGGATTCTCATGTAACATTTCAAAGGGTTCAGCGCTATATTTATTTCCGCCCTCCAGTGTGGTAATGAGTTACTAAATAATATTACTAATAATAATTTTGTAAATATTTAAGTGTAATTTCCACATTTGAGTCATACGATCATATAATTAGGATCAATTTAAACGTCAACCACTCCTCTTGGATATACTATCAACTTCTCGCCTCTATGTCCTTTAGGGGAAAACACATACGCCATAGAATACAAATTTTCTAATTTTTCACACAAAAGTCAGGGTCCATTTGACCCGCTAAATATTGACCAATTTTTATCAGCTCGATCCGGTTCTCCATGTAAAATTTCGCGATTCTGGCCATAATTGCGATCTCTGGAGAAACCAGAAAAACGGTCAAAAATAAAGTTTTTGGTCCATTTCATCCCCTTAATATTAACCGATCTTTACCAAAAACAATACGGGTCTTCATTGGCCAGAACTCATCCTACATGCAAAATTTCGTGAAGATTGGTTCATAATTGTGGCGTGTTTGCAAATTATAATGGACAGACGGACGGAAGAACGGAAGATAGACTGAGCTAGTCAAGATATGACGATCGGTATACTTAAAGGTGGGTCTAGGACCAATATTTCGCAGCGTTACAAACTTTTGGGGCTGCACAAAGCTATAATACCCTGACAACATAGTTGTGTAGGGTATAAATACTGCCGGATGAGATTATTCAAAACTATTAAGTCAATCGGTTCGAAATTCATTGTTCCGTACATATATAGCTATAGTATGATATCAGTAAATATCTGTATTAATTCTTTGTCTTGGGATATACGAACTGTTAAAATAGTTCTTTATTCGAAGGAGATCAATTTCTCCTCCACTTCCAGGAATTGTAATTATGCGTCTATTTCACATCAAGAAAGCTGTGATGATATACTGTAATGACTCGGTTAGCCATCCTGTGCCATGAATATGGGTAGTGTGGTCCCTCTACTGAAAACTAGCAAGAATGCAGACAAAGGTGACGCATATATGTCATAGATGTTGTTCTTAAGGATCAGAGATACCTCTGACACCATACGCGATCATGTCAAACGTTTTATACTCTGCTGCCGAGTATAAAACGTTGTACCGTTAAATTGAAAAATAAGAAGTCCAAAACCCGTATAGAAAATCAGGTCTGGATTTTGATGAAGTTACCATATAAACAGCGAAATGTCTGAATCCTCTCAAGATTCATTCATCAGTTATACATACGTTTTATTATTCGCTTTATATAAAGTACATATTTTTATCAAGGTTTCAGATGTAATGTGGATCAAATCGGTTATTCAATTTGCTTCAAATTAAATTTACCATTTTATAAAATATTGAACCTTTATGGGGGAGGTACCAGAAGCAGTGGACCAATAGGTCCCATCTTTGGACTTGATCTAGGCTTGGTAAAGATAATAGCTTGTGCTAAGTTTGATTTAAAATCGGACATTCCATTCGCCTGATGTTGGATTTACAAATATTGAAATGTTGACCCTTTTGTGGAGGAATTTCTAGTTGAACAATTGGTCCCTTCTTCGGACTTGATCTAGGCTTGGCAAAGATAATAGCTTGTGCTAAGTTTGATTTAAATCGGACATATCATTCGCCTGATATTGGATTTACAAATATTGACATTTATGTGGGGGACGTGCCAGAAAGAGTGGACTAATATTCCACATCTTGCAACTTAAACTATGTTTGGAAGAAATATTATCGACTCCTTATACAAGTGGTCAACAGGCGGGCTATCGCATATAGGTGGTCAACAAAAATTATTTGTCCCCAGACCTGCCGCCTAGAGGTTTCAGTGTATCGTTGATACTTCTGACCATTTATCAAATATTTGTGGCATACACCGGCTAGTTATACTCGAAAATCGGCCTCTGTTTGAATACTTATTTATGTTACATATCAGTTTACCTAGAAAGAAATTGTGACCTTTGCTTAGAAAGAAATTGTGACCTTTGCTAATATGTACGAATATTTGATATCACGTTTGCTTCGTACGATAGCTGCCCCCATTCGTATAAAATGCCTACCTATACTATACATGAATTTAAAATGTTTTACAAAATGGAAATAGTCGCCAGCATCAATCCAACGAAATCGAAATGAAACGTATGCAAATGAAAATAAGAAACTTATAGAAATTCGATTTTAACTCGAGAGCAAGTCTACACTTTTTTCGCTATAAATTTTAACACTTGGTTAAAATTGTTCTTAAAGTTCGTAGTTTCGTAGCGATAGTATAGAAGAAAAAGGATAACTATATTACACATTATGCCAAAGCATAATCTTACCTGGAGACTTTTTTGCCTTAGATATTTACTTGGATATACATGACATAATTAAAATTAAGTATGGGAGAAGCAGCAATCAATAATAATAGTAACAAATAGCAAGCAGAATAGGATGGTGGAATTTACTTCGGAAAAAAATGAAATAGTATAAGATACGATAGCATGCCTTATAAACTAAACAAGCCATTTGTAATCAAAATTTGACAAATACATACCTCTTGGCTGATGTGGTTCGTGAATAGGGATTTTGTAATAACTTCGGTTGTGTTTCCATTACTCGCAGAAGTAGATTATCTAAATAATCTTCTAATTCTTTGACACGTTGACGCTGCAGCAACGCTTCATTTTCCATGCCGTTGGCAATTAACATAAGTTCCTGTGGGGACAATAACAAAACAACAATTAATTAAAACCTTCTACAATTGTGGTAATTAGTCTCGTAATTACCTCTCGTGATTTGCCTTCATATTTTTTGGCCAAGGCTGCTGATATTTCGGCACGTCTCTCAGCCTGTGTAGAAGACTTTTCATGACCAATAATAATGCGTTCATTTGTTTTGGGACTAGGTGTAGAAGCAGTACTTACAGATTGTTTTTCTAAATATAAAATGGAAATAGAAGATTTCTTTTGTTATTAAATTGTAACTAATTTAAGTTTTAAAGCGCATTTAAGCATTTTGTAAAACAAGAATAACAATAAAAAGAACCCAACGTCACTACTTATTAAGAATAATCATGCGTATGAGTGTTATGAATGTTTGTGTTTGTGGTGGGTGCAGAGAGTTGTTGCTCTTCCGTTAAAACTTACAAGGACATTCGTTACGGGGTGAAAGGCAGACTTGGTGGCTGTTTAATATTAATTTCATTTCAACGAAACCAATGAATGTAGGACAAGATACAATGTAAAAAAATATACCAACAAACTTAAGCTTACGAAACAAAACAAAAGAGAAAAAACAAAGTAACCAACAAAAATTTGTTCATTGGATAGACAACTGCTCCAGTGGGAATGGGAAATGTGGGGGGAAAAGATTCATTAATTCTTTAACATTTTTTGTTTTAGTTTTTATTTTGATTTTTGGTGAGATCTGCTAACAAAAAGCATGGTGATTCCACAAACACAAAATCCATTTCATCACAAACGCCGACTACTCTCACCTCGCTCACCTCGATTATTGTAATTGTTGGTGCTGTTGTTGTTGAATGTGGGACGTTCTTTAATCTCAACTTTTTCCTTTTTCTTCGGCTCTTCTTTTGTTTGTTCTTTAGGTTTTGGACTCTCCACAAATGGATTTTCTTTTGTCTCCTCGGGCGTTACCAAACGTTTGGAGAAATTCAAGATGCGTAAATCTTCTTCACGGCGTTTGGCCTCGCGTCGTTTCTCTTCTTCACGTTCTTCTAGCTCTTTTTGCAAGGCTTGTTCCTCCTCACGCAAACGTTTCTCATTGGCCTTTAATTCTGCCTCCAGTTTGGCATCTTCTGCAGCCCTCTGCAAACGCAACTTTTCTTTTGCTGCCTCCTCTTCCTCTTTGACACGCAACTGTTCTTTCTCTTTTTCCAAAGAGGCTGAACTTCTGGGACGTGGTTTAGGTTGTGGTGGAGACGCACGTGACTTGGCCGAAGACATGGTTTCATTTGCTAAAAAGTTATTTGTTTCTTCCTCGATGTCGAATACCTTGGCACTGTGCCTCTGTTCGAATTTGGCAAAAGAAGCATTAAATTTAGCAAATTCATTTTTCTCCTCTTCGGGAGAGAGAAGGGAATCTTTGCGCAAAACAACATCGCTCTTGGTGGATTCATTGGTGGCAGTTACAAATTTGAGATCTGTTGGTTTTTTGGGTTTCACCTCCTCCTCCAACTTTTCGGGGGATTGTTTAGGAACTTTGGGAGCCTTGGGCTTTTCGGATAATTTTGGTGGTTCCTCCTCTTCCTCGTCGCTACTTGAACTGGAACTGTCACTTAAGGTCTCTGGTGTGTGAGCTTCTCTCAATGGAGGTAAAAATGATTTGCTCATCGATTCATTGTTGGAGGCCACTACCACCGATTCCTCGGCTACGTTGTTGGAAGAAGACAAGGGTACAGCTACTGGTTCCCATGATCTGCGCTTCAATGAATCCGAATTTCCGCTATCAGCACTGCGTCCATACAATTTCGATTCCCATTCATCCAATTCGCTGTTGTTATGTTTGCCATTGATTCTGATATCACCAGCTCCGCCGCCACCATTGACACTAATATCCATTTGAGGTGTCCGCGGAGGTTTCGAGGGAGGCGGTAAAGTACGAGCTCTAATGCTAAATTCATTTTCAATTTCTTCCAATTCCGGATCCACACTGAGGTTGTCTGATCCATCGTATCTTAGATGGTGATCCTTACCTTTGCCGGTCGAACCCATCAGCGGGGAAGAATTTTTGTTGGCATAATTTGATGCAGGTGTCTGCAGACCACCGCCGTCGCGTAAATTCAACGAACTAACCGAACTCTTTTGTGACAGCTTATCAAATTGGAATTCATCTTCGTCTTCGCTATCAATGACACGGACACGATTTGGTGTTCCAATGCTGGCAAAGGAGCCTGTGTACGACATACCATCTTCGTCGCCGTCTTTATTCTTCTTTTTACTTCCGGTGGGCAAGTGTAGTTTGGAACCGAACTTTTTGGCAATTTTCTTGATACCTTTACGTTTTTCTATTTGGCCAATCGAGAGTAAACTACCACCCACCGAAGATGCCAGTTGTCCAATGGAAGACTTGTGTTTTTCCTTCTTACTCAAATCGGTCAGGGATCCCGATTTTACGGTGAACGAAATCATTGCCATCAGTTCACCACGTTCTTTGTTTTTCTTTTCCTTGCCGGGTTTACTTTCCAATTTAAACCATTTGGGTCTGGGACGATCATAGGGGTCCATTTCATTTAAAGGCAGCGTTACTTGTCCAAGGAATTCATCGATACCCAAATTGTTGCGATGTAAACAGGTGAGGACCAATTCAGCTCTGTTGCCTTGATCGGGAATTTTTCTGTAAAAGAAATAGAGAGGGGTTTTAAATAATTGGAAGGAATTTAGGAGTATTTTGTGGAAGTACTTACAGTTCACATTCCTCATTCCATTGTACATTACTTTCAGCCTTTTCTTTTACGGAGGTCTGGTATTTCTCCTTGCCCATTGCAATGGTGACATAGCAATTGTTTGTGTTGTTTTTGCCCTTGCATAATAAACCTCGGGCACTCTGAACTGGAAAAATAGAAAGAAGGAAAAAGGGGAAATGTTAAAATATTTACAAAATAAACAAATAACAAAAATATAAAAAAATATAATGGAAATAATTGCAAGTCTGTCTAGCCGTTAGACTGCGGAAAGGATATATTTGGTAAAAATTGTAAAGACTACTATTAGAATGTTAAAAAATGGGAATTCAGACAATGTTCCCATATTTCAATAATTATTTTAAGATTTTCAAGTTGGAAAGAGTAGGAAAATCTTAACATATTGTTGCCCTTGTTGTTGTTGTTTGTGGGACGTATTTTTACACCTCAATATATTGTATAACTTAATTAATTTTTCAATTTTTCATCCAAGGTTAAGACCGTGACATGTTCATATCAATCATCAAATAACAAATTAGTCGGTCATGAAAAATTACAGTTGTTTGTTGTTTCCTTAAAAAACGTTAACTTGCAACATGGAAATGTGCGTGGTAAAAACGTTTAGAGCAGAGTTTCAAATAAATTTTTTGAATTTTAGATGAATTCATTACTTAATTGACTACCTGGTACATGAAAGACATAAAAATGAGGATAATATGTCGTTACTTCTTCAAACATCTCTTTTCAACACGCAATTTTTTGAGTGAAATTTACTTGTGTGTGAATCTCAAAATAATTATTGAGAAAATAAAAAAGGAAAAAAATCATATCTTCCATTGACGAAATGGAAAACGTAAAGGGCATTCGTAGAAAATTATCTAAATTTTTCAAGCCCACGACTTTCTCAAGGATTTAGCATCGCACAGAGCAAAAAGTTCGTTCCAAACTACACTTTCCCACTGGGAGTAAAAAGAAGAATGAAGATGGCGACGAGGATGGTATGTCGTACACAGGCTCCTTTGACAGCATTGGACCACCAAATCGTGTACGTGTCATTGATAGCGAAGACGAAGATGAATTCTAATTTGATAATCTGTCACAAACAAGTTCGGCTAGTTCGTTGAATTTATACCGCACTTTTTGTGCTAGGCTATGAACTTTCCGAACTCACTCGTATACACTTTGATACCGTGAAAATGTTCCTCATCTAAATATTGGTTTAAGACCCCTTGTTTCTTTGGACCAAATCCGTTTCAGAAAATTTGGAGTACGTCTATCTTTCTGACCGGTTGGTGCGCACGATAACTCTCGAAGGGAATAATCGATTTCATCTAAACTTTGCACATGTTATTGTTTCTTCCAAACTTAGTTCAATATTCAAGATGGGGAATATCAGTCCACTCCTTCTGGTACCTCTGGTACAAAACGTCTAAATTGTGCAAAAAAAAATAATTTTATAATATCATGCGAACGTCCGTTCCGATCTGAATCAAACTTTGTACAACCTATTATCTTTACCAAGCCCAGATCAAGTCCCAAAATGGGATCCATTGGTCGACAATATTTACAAAGCTAATATCAGGCGAATGGAATGTCCGATTTGAACCAAATTTTGCACAACCTATTATATTTACCAAGCCTACATGAAGTCCGAAGGAGGGACCCGTCTGCCCTCTCTTCTGGTAAATTATTTTTGAAGCGAAACCTCTTTGACAAACAGCATATACCTTATATAAAATGAATAATAAAACCTCGGTGAACTCCGAAGACCTCCGCAAACCATAGGCTGGGGGTATACACATCTGTCGGCAACACCGACTGACCCTTTTTACTTGTTATAGGGTGATTTTGCAAAGATATTCAATCCGTAGAATAACTTTTGAAAGGTATAAGATGTCTATATAAGTATTTTGAATGTTCTATTGAAATGTCTTCTCCCCATCACCTTCTCTACCAGAGCCTTCAAAGCAAACAAAACAATTAAGTGATTATGATTTCGTATGTATTATATTTGATTTAGTCTAACAATAGATACGCCGTACATGAGAACTTGATTTGATTTTTATTAACGAATTTTGTGAAGAGATTATTTTCACGCGAAGTAATAAAAAAATATAGATTAAGGCAAAGCCCAAGTCCATATGAGTCACCTCGCTATAAACAGTATATAAAATAAATATGAACTCTACTCTACAGGGAGCAAATTTAAATAATAAAATTTTTGTTCCATTAAAAAAATATTCAAATATTTCCTTTATTCTTTTGAAACTTCTTTCTTTTACCTATTGTCTGCCTAACGCAAATATTTTACACATTGGATTTTTATTTTTGTTGAAATTTGTGCTTATGTATATTTTAATTCCATTTCTGAGTCACATTTTTAGCAAAAAAATGTTTATTTGGAATCGATCAAAAAACTTAAATTTCGCAAGTTGCCTTAAAAATGCCACAGCTTTTTGATAAATACCACTACTACCCACAATTGACATTTAAAACGCTATCGTATTAAGAAGAACTACTACTAAAATAATAACTTGGGTTGTTTTAGATTTCCCACGATAAAAAAATGAACAAAAAATAAATAAACCGATTCAAAAGAGGGGATGTTGAGCTGATTTCATGGCACAGAGTATAGCATTGGCATGGAGGTATTTCAAGGGCAAATGAAACAGAGCACATAAACACAAAAGTAGCCAGCAAACATTTGCGGAAATGAGGTGGAGATTGTGAACATTTTTAGAGAAAACGATAAAAAATAAAAAAAAAGATTTGTAGCAAATTAAAAAATTAAACACTTATATATTATAAATTTATTTACAAAATAAAATTTCATTTCAATGAAAGTTCGCTGAACCAAATCAAGAAGTTTTACTTTGTTTTTGGCATATTCCTCAACAAATCAAATATGCAGATCATCACTCGCAATCATGTCAGATTGCTGCTACTACAATTGCCACTTACTGCCACTGCCGAAGCGTGCTACTGTCAATAAATCTCAATGACTTTCCAAAAAGAAATTTGAATTAGAAAACGATTTGAAATCGTATCGACAATTTCTCGAGAAAAGCAATAAAAAAGGAAGTACCAAAACATGCGTGAAGTTTTGTATTTAGTTGTGAGCAAAAAGTGTGATACAGATAACAACAAAGCAATGAAGATTTATGTACTGGATGTGTTTATTTTCCCCTATAAAACAAAAATATGTAAAATTGTTTGTTATAGAGAGGAACTTTTGAGGAAAGAACATCGAAAGTGATCGACTGTAACGTCTTGATTCTAATAGATATATTAAATAAGTATTTTTCATCTCCAGATGGCATTTAAAAAAAGCTTTATGGCTCATGTGCAAATAGTTACGTTCCGAATATCCTATAAAGAATAATTATGGAAATATCTGATGTCTATAGGGGAGCTATAACAAAATGTGAACAAATTTTAGTCGGGCTTACCACACAAAATTTTTGATTTATTTCGATATACTGTGGGATCATTTATATGAAATTAAGCCATACTCTTTTTGAGAGGTATATTGAAACAAGATACATTTTAGCAGGGTTCGTTCTTGGGACAACCATATAAGTAAAAAAGTGTCAGTCGTCGTAGCCGACAGTTATATACCCTCATCTTATGGTGTGCGGAGAAGGTCTACGAATTAAGACACATGTTTTATTATTCATTTTATATAAGGTATATGTTTTTATCAAAGATGTTTCAGAATGTTGATCAATTCAAAATATTGAAAATGTTGACCCTTTGTGGGGAAGTACCAGAAGGAATAGACCAATGGGTTCCATCTTCAAATTTGATCTAGGCTTGGTAAAGATAATAGGTTTGGCGTAGTTTGGTTCAAATCGGACATTCCAATCGCTTCATATCGGATTTTTAAATTTTTAAAAATTTGAAAATTTGTACCAGAAGGAATGGACCAATGGGCCACATGTTACTACTTGATCTAAGCTTGGTACAGATAATAGGTTGTACAAAGTTTGATTCAAATAGGATAGTCAGTTCGCATAATATTATAAAATTAATTTTTTGCACAATTTTGATCATTTTGTGTGGGAGGTACCAGAAGGAGTGGGTCGATATTCCTCATCTTCGAACTTGAACTAAGTTTGGAAGAAACAATAAGATGTGCAAAGTTTGGATGAATTCGACTATTCCCTTCAAGAGATATCGTGCGCACCAGCCATCCAGACAGGCAGACAAGGAACGGACATTTGTAAATCGACTCCAATTTTTCAAAGAAAGAAACACGGGGTCTAAAAACAATATTTTCAACGTATCAAAGTGTAGTAGCCATAAGGCTGCGGGTATAAAAACTGTGTTAGTTTTGTACACTCCTTTTGAAACACTCTTATTGTTTCTTCCCCTCAAAGGATCGAAGTTCATATGAAACGAATGATGTATCCAATTTGATCCATAGATTGCACTTCGTAATAAATTTCCCCATTCAACATTAAATCCGATGTTGGTGTCTGTTGGAACACCATTATAATTGTTTAACCCTGAGGCATGGACTCTGATTTCGCAGATCTGTTCAAATGTAAATACATTTGTATAATACCATATGCAGAGGGTACACATTACTTCAAATAGGCTTTAGTTTCGGCGATCTCATCTTCATTCGACTTACATTTCTTTCAAAGAGGATTCTTTGCCAAATTGCAGCAGAATTTGTAACAAAATTTAGGAAGGTATTTTCTAAAAGAAGTGCTTTTCCGCATGTCTATAGAAAAGTTGTGTTTTCTATCTACGGTTCTACAGAATATTTTTGTTCTATAGATCATTATTCGATTTTGTTGCAAATCGAATGAATACACCGACAAACTTCTGTAGAGTACAAGTCCAACGAAAAAAAAATCAGAACAAATTGACGAAGCTTGTGGCATAATTACCCAAGTCAAAAGGTGTACAAAATGTACGACACAAAAATAATGAAAAAAACACTAAAGAAAAAATAGCAAAAATATCGACAAGGCGACATTTGATGCTATGACGATCAATCAATTGAAAAGAACCGGCACTGTGCCACTTTACATGTCTCGCGGACCCAAAACAACAGTAAAGGAAAAACAAACTCAAATAGAAAAAAATTATTACGCTAAAAAAATACAAGTCAAGAAATAGCAACAACACCAATAGCGG